TCAAAGGTAGTTATTTTTATACGTCACCCTTTACGTCATATAAAATTTATATATAATTTAATACGTCATATTAAATACATCACGTCAATACGTTATAATAATGCCTGAGCTTTAATTATCACATCGTATCACATGAAAAAAATAACTTGCATAAATATATATCATCATAAGAGTTTGCCGGATAATATATACTTAGGGTGATTCAGAACTCATCTGGGGGGATTCTGGGTCGGAATACTTCAGAATCCTGGTCGGCTGGGCCGGAATTGACCAATTTTGTCTAACGCTAATATCACTAAAAATTTTACTGATGAAATCATTAAAATATGCCTGATGGATAATTTTGCTATGAACTACACCGTTCAACTATGCCTCTTAAAGCTGATCTAAATCATGATGAAAATACTATTGTATTTTATGGTAAGAACCATCTAAAGTATTCAAATTTACTACTCTTCAACGAATATATCCCAAATTTTGCCAAATCCACCAATTTAAGGTTTGTTTTTACGAAATTTTAAGGATTCATTGAGAAGCACCTAGCAATTTTTAGAAAAAAATACCAAATTTTAGATGTGATGCAGGCAATGATGATTGGACAGTGAATTCATATTAAAAACTTTGAACCAGGTCTCGTGATTTACTCTGTGGCGTATATGATGGCATCATATTTTTAGTGACCTTTTTTTGATATCTTAGATGGTTCGCATCATAGCGATAGTAATTTGGAAAGACTTATTATTTTATGTAGTTAAAGTTGAATATATAAAAAACGATTGGTTCTACCCTGACAAAGACAAAATTCCGACAGGTCAAAATCCAGATTTGAACTGACAGTTCAAACTCTTGACTATTTCGGATTTTTACCTGTCGGGATTTGTCTTTATCGGGATCTTGACTTGTCGGGATTCTGTCTCTGTCATGATTTTGGATGTCAGAATTATATACTATCAGGGTAGAAACGAATTATTTGATCGTATTTGCCATTTTATAAGTTAATTTTTTTTTTTTATCTAAATAAAGAGTAATCATACCGATTTCTAATTAGACTTAAAAATAAACCAATTTTTAATAAAGTTTATAAAAAAAAAAACTTTATATTTTTATTTTTAAAGATTCTTCAAGCAAGTTATACAATTTGGATATATTTTAGAGAACCTATAGAACAGAACCAAAAAATGGAAGATCGATATCTCTGGTATTATTTCATTTTTAGTTGTTATTTAAACTGCCAAAATATTAGGCCAACATTACGAACCGTGTTAGATAAATTCAAAGATTGTTTTATGTAACAAAAATAAAATCCCAAAATATATATTTTTTCTTTATGATATTAGTCGCGACTGTTCAATCAAAAGTGCTACTAATATATGAGTTCACGAAGGATAATACGAAGGAAAGGAGAATTCAGCTCCTTGAGTTATCTTTATTCGAAAAAAGTCGAAATTTAAATAAAAATGTGTTGAACAATTGGCACGATTAAAGAAATGATATTGTCTAGCCTTACTTAAGTAACTATAATATACAAGAGGAATATTTATTTCTTATAGTATTTACATGGTATTCGCTATTTGATATTTTAAAAATCAAATGGTTTATTTTTTTTATATAATTATTTGTTTTGTTGCATGTGTTGTGATTAGTAGATTTTTCAAATATCTGAAATATGATTAATTCTTCCAGTTCGTGCAAATTGCTTAATCATCAAAGTTATAATCTTTTAGAAGAGCATTAAAAGTAAAATTCACAAGGTTCTCTGGTGCTATTGACTTTCTTGATGATTCGTTTTATATTTTTATTTGGATTTCATTGTTTATTATTTATGAAATTTAAATCAGCAAATAATAAAATTTCTTTAGTATCAATTGTATTGCGTCTGTTGATCTTTGTGCTTTTGAAGGTTTCGTTTAGTTTGTAAAGTTTGTAATCATTATTTTATTTCATTTTATTTTGAAGAAAAGAAATTACATATTACATTATCATCAATACAACAATATCGATATATATATCACATGATTTTTTAAATTTTTCTTTATTCCAGTCCCTAATATTACGAGGAAGTTAGCGAATCAATCAAATTACATGTTTTCTTTTCCGTCTCTCATCTATTTGAATATTTAATTCAGTCAAATAATCATAGTTTCAAATATTCAAATATTTAAATACATTGTTTATACTATATTCGTGAGGTTAATTATACTTGCAATCAACGTCATTTGACCGATAATACGTAGTGTATTATATTATTTTTGGAATTTTGGAATTTTCTGAAATCATAATAAAAAAATTTAGTAGGAAATTAGTTTTGAAAAAAGAAGATACAAATAATCTAATAATTACGATAATCGAGATGTAAAAGTTTTCATGCCAATAACGTTAGAATATTATGAATTTATTCTTTTACTACAAAATTGGTTAATGGCTGTACTGTAAAAAAAAAAAGGAAAAAAAATTTTCGGCTTAGAAATCGTTGTTGACGTGATGCGTATCGATATATTATTTAAAACGAGTTGCCTTTATTTATTTAGATAAGCAAAAGGGCTTTTTCATAATAATCAACACAAATTGCTATAAATTTTTGTGATTAAAGTGATTAAAGGATTAAAGTTCAATTTGAAAAAAAAAAAAATTCAACGAATCCTTTTTTCTCAAATAGTAGACAATAAGAGTCAAGATGCCGGTCGATCCTTATATGAAAAATCCACGACCTCATAGAGACTTGTGGAAATATATAACACATCGACGTGGTTGGGGGTATTTATAATTACAGAAAATAGTAAAATACAATAGAATATATGATATACTTTTAATGTGATCGTTATCATCCTATACAACAGGTATCCCGATGTGTTGGAAGTTCAGAGTTCCATACTTCTGAATGTTATTCCCATACTCATTTTTACAACTTTATGGACAACTTTCATCGTTGTACTTTATATGATATTCGACGTAGAAAGTATTGCCGTTTCAGCCAATTTAAGTACGAATAAAAGATAACTTAAATTATTATTTATTATCTATATATAATATATTTATATTTATAATTATTTTTTTTAAAAAAAATATAATTTTTTTTTATAATGTAGCCGCTTCCGTCTCTGTTGTAGTGGCTCTTCTTTTAGCTTTCCGTACGAACAACTCATATAATCAATATAATGAAGGTAGACGTTTATTCAATAGTATGTGGTTAGTATCAATTAGTGGCAACTGATCAATTAATCGATGAGCTACAACTAATTCATTAAGTAAATAAATGATTTTTCAATCGATTCTTTGCAACTAATCAATTATTCTTTAATCGATTAGTTGCAACTAATCGATTAGTCGATTAATCAATTAGTTGGTGTCTAAAAAGTCAGTCGATTAGTTGTCAACTAACCAACTAATCGACTAATTTCGATTCACTAGTATCAATAATACCGTTTTTATTAACGCTTAATAAAAAACCGCTAATCTATATATTTTACTTAGTACTGTTATCAGAAATTGTACGCGCACATTATGGATAGGAGTCAAAGAACGTAATGATCAAGATCGTATTGAAAAATCAAATTATATTAGATTATTATTGGGATATGTAGTTGCTGTTAAGCATCATATTCGATTCGAATTTGGAATTCATTGGCCTGATTTGCAAGATCTTCTTCCTGATGGTTTTCAAAAGACCTATTATGACGGTAGTGCTATGCAGCCTGAAGAATCTTCTGAAGATAAATCTTTGCTCGGTGGATTACCAATCGCAGTTCGATCAATATCAAACAAAATTCCACCTACCGCTTTTAGATCAGTTCTTAAGCTTTCGAAAGAGGAGAGGAAAATATTATATAAACAAGAAGAATTACCCGAAGTAGATGCGAGTATGAGCTTACCTTTGGTAAATATTTTAACCATTTTATAAATTGTTGGAATTCACGCGAATTTCTATAAAAAAAAAAAGTCTCTAAATAAAATAAATTAAAAAAATTTTTTTTCTTGGACTTTATTTAGGAAATTGTTTTTCATTTAAATTTATATTTCGTACAAATGACTACTGAACTGGTTAATAAAGATAATGAAGATGAGGGAAAACGATTAGATGGCGTTAAATTTGGTGCATTGGCATCATCATTAGATGAATTGATTGATATTTTGGGTAATTTAGAAAGAGTTGGAAGCACACCTCTCCCAACCGCTTATAATGTCCATTTGTAAGTTTGATGCACTCATTAGAAAACATCTATTTATCACCATATAGAATAATCATAAATGCCTAAATTATTTGGGACTGGGTTAATATGCTAAACTTTTTCTCAACTTTTTTATGCATAAAACTTATGTGGTGATATATAGCAATATATTCTCTATCTTATTATTTACATAATATTTGTTATTTTTTTATAGGAAACAAGCCGTCGTGTTATACAGTAAGAATAAAATTTATACGTTATATTCCTTAAATTACATAAATATATTTCTTTAATTACCATTGTCTATTTCTATAGTGATTGCTCTTCCGTTCACCATAGTTGCTGACCTTGATTGGTTTACTATTCCTACTATGGTTCTAATAGCTTTTATTTTCTTTGGTATTTTGGCTGTCGGTATGTAAAATGATTGTTTACAATTTGTTAATTTTTAAATATATCTTTATAATGATTTTTATAATATTTTTACATATACTTTGTGTAATAATTTTGAATTTGAATAATAGGTTCTGAAATTGAAAACCCATTCGGTAAGCTGATTACATGTCCTGGTGAATTCCTTTTAAAAGATACGTGTTTTGATGTATTCTTTATTTTTGTTTAGGATATGATGAGAACGATCTTCCATTAGACGAATACTGTAAGGTAAAGGAAAAAAAAAAACCTTTTTCAATTGTTTAGATTATTTTATTATCGAATTAAAAAAAACAATTTTAAAATAAAATAGGATTTGGAGGCAGAAGTCAAATATTTGCAAGAACACCTTCCAAGTGATTTACATCAAAGTAAACAAATATATGATTTATAATTTGAAAATTTTTAGCGTTATTAAAAACGTAATCTTATATACATACATAGTTTTATTTAAGAAACTAAGAATTTTTTTTATATTTACTTGTTAAATAAAGCTTGAAATTTTATAGTACTGTATTTGTAAATTGCGAGAATTTTTAATTTAAGTTCACATGACTTTGAGAATATTTGACGTTGATAATAAACAAAAAGTTTTTGGATTATCAAAAAAAATTAGGTAACTTAATCGTTGTAAGTATTTAGTGCTGAATGAATACGATATTTTCCTTCAATTAGTCTTTAATCGTCAACTTTATCGTAATTGCCCGGGTAGCTCAATTGGTAGAGCGTCAGGCTTTTAACCTGAATGTCGAGGGTTCGAGCCCCTCCTCGGGCGTTGCGATTTTTTTGGAGTTTTTTTTTCGTATAGAAAATAAATCACATGATTAATTTTAAGCGATGATCAAAAGTAACGGAAGTCTATGGATCAAGCTAAGCCATTGGCTTATTTATTATGTGTATAGCGATAGTTGAATAATTAATAAATTAAATACGATTTCAAAAACCTATTATATACTTTTTATATACTTTTTATATACTTAATGAATTTTAATTCATTATAATGTACTTTAGGACAGATATTACATAGTACGTATTAAAACATTAGATAATTTTGAAATAAGTCTCAAGAGATATTGACTAATATCTTATTTAATATAGGACATTTGGTACGTGGATGATACACGTATCATTTCAAAAGAAAGTATCACCTTATGATTCATAGTACTGGATCAAAACTGGAAACTTTTATAGGACAACTTGCTTCATATTATCTAAGCCACGATTGCACTTAATAAATTTTGGAAGAATTTTTTTCCATTATTATTTGTAACTTTGAAAGAAAAAGGTTAAAATTTAAAGCGAAAAAAAATGCATGATAATAAGGGTGAAAATACAACTACAAACAGAATAATCGAAGATCAAAAAAAAATAAGCAACAACATTAATCAAATGTCTCAAGAAATCAGCAATGCTAATTCCTCTGAATTAAAAAAAACGAAATCAAGTAATCAACCATCATTAATAGATCATTCAACGATTGCAATTTCTGATAATTTAGAAAACGCTAGCAGTAACCTATCACCTACCAATTTTAACAATAATCTGTCATCCACTGGATTATTAAAACCAAAAACACAAGTGGAATATAAAGGTTACGGTGATCATGAGAAGGAACATGCATTGAAACGTGAACAGATAAAACTTGAAACTAATAATAATCGAGACCAACTTTTAGGAAATAGTGGCAACGTGAATATTGAGCATTCGCAGCAAAATCAACGTTCTATTTTTGTACCTCGACCACCATCACATCAACAACCATTATCTAACCAACAGCCGTCGTCTCCTCAACAATCATCATCTCCCCAACAACCGCCGTCTCTCCAACAACCATCATCTCACCAACAACCACCGTCTCGCCAACAACCACCGTCTCGCCAACAGCCACAGTCTCACCAACAACCACCGTCTCACCAACAACCATCATCTCAACAACAACCACTGTCTCATCAGCAGCAACCACTATCTCACCAACATCCATCATCTCATCAACAACAGCAGTCTCCTCAACAACTACCACCGTCTCTCCAACAACCACCACCTTCTCTCCAACAACCACTGTCTCTCCAACAACCACTGTCTCATCAACAACTTCTATCTCACCAACAACCATCTCCACAATTATTTTATCGGACACCACATCCACAACAGTTGCCTCATCGTAAACCACCTCCACAGCAATTACAACCACCCTTACAGCAACTATCTCATAGACAACCATCTTTGCAAATGGGACCACGAAATGATACAAATCCTACGCAGCAGCTACTAAAACCATTACAACCACAACAAAGACCACCAACAAATTCTAATGTTTATAAAGTGAATGAATCTGATCAATTGGTATTTCAAAAGAATAAGTCAAATTTACATCAGGAAAGTAAAAATGAAACGGCCTTTTCCACAATTGCTTTAGATGGATTAAAATCTGTAGAAAATTCTGACATCAAATTTGAAAATAACAAGAATCCTTTACAAAACCAGGGTAAATACAAATTTGTCTTTTGAAAGTTACTTCCGCTAATTACTTCCATTAATTATTTCCATTAACCATTTCTTTGTTAATTATTATCATTAATAATTTTTAGGTTGGACCAGTAGTAGTAACACTTCGGAGAATCCAAACATACGTCAACGTATTTCGCAACTTCCAATGGATACAAAAAATTCAAAAACTTCTGGTAATGAAAAAGAATTGTTGATTGGAGGACGGACCAGAACAAGCGACAAACATACACAATTTCAAAATCCGTTTTCAACGAGTCTTCACTGGACTTGGATTTTATTGATTTTCCTTGCATTAGGAGCTATCGCGTTTACTGTTTATCGACTGGTATATTTATTTTATTAGAAATTTATATTATTTATTTTCATTTCATTATCATTGCCATTTAATTACTATTAATCATAGGATTCAATTCATGTCGAAGAGAAAAAAGTTCACATTAAGGTTGGTTAAATTAACAAATAATTATATTGAAATTGTTAGAATTTAAATTGTTGGTATCATTAGATGCAACGTCCTTTCTTGGAAGTATTTACAAACTCAACGGTCACTTTAATGCAAGATCTTGACAAGATTAGTGATTTACCTGGTAATATATTATTGATTATAATCATTTTATGCACAATAACGAAAGTCTTACGCAAGTAGTGTTTAAAATTTAATGTTCTCAGTATTTTCAGAAAAACATTTAATAATTTTATGATGAATTGGGGTCTTTGCCTTGAAAATCAAGTTTGGATCATATGATTTACTATGTCATTTTCAAGGCAAAGACCCCAATTGTTAAAAAAAAGTTCTCTACTTGAAAACATTTAACAAATTTTTTTAATATTAAAATTTCATTTTTCTTATTTTGAGAACATTAAAGAATTCAAAAAATGTGGTTTTTTTTTTGAAATGTTGAATTTTAAACACTACTTACAAGCTTACGTTGAGCTTTTCGAAAAGTTTTCGGAAAGTTTTCGGAATATAATGACAATAACTTAACATATATATATATATATTTATATGTATTTAATAAGCATCAGATACAATTATGAAAGGAACAGTTTTGTATAAACGTTTAGCCAATATTCTCGAAACCAGTCCTGGTTTTAAAAATAATGGTGCAACCATCGCATCATATCTTCGTCATTATAGCACCCAAATAATGGAAGCCGGACAAGCATTTGAAGATATGTATCGTCAAGGTGACTTAGTATTTTGGATTTTAGATCGAGAAATAAATCAAATTCTCGAAAAATTAAAACCAAATATATTCGGACAAATATTCTTCAAAGATGAATCAGCATTCTTTAAAGAACGAATTAATGACATGATACAGGTTGTTGATGCATTTAAATCAAAGGTTACAGACGCTGTCAGAGCCGTTAGAGTTGCAGATTCGATTAGAGATCAGACAGAAAAAGGATTGTTTCGTGGAATTAAAATTGAGGCTGAAAAATTTGTAAAACTTGGAACACGTAATAATAATGAATATCGGTCAAAATCAAGTCCTCCGCCGTCGTTTCCAAACGAAGAATTAATTATCGATGTTGAAAATGCTAAAAGGCATTTAGAACAAGCTCAAGAAATTTTGAACATGCTATATAGATCGGGTTATGGGTTAAATAGGTTGATTATTATCTTGAATAATTATAGAAATAGGTTGAATGATGTTGATGCAGAACTTGACGACAAGATCACCATTACAAAAAAACAAATTGAGAAGTTAAGAAAACTTTTGGATAATTTAAAGGAATGCCATACAAAGTTTTTAAAACGAGATGAAATTGAAGATATTATTGATGTTACTCTTGATTCTCAGGATGAATTCGATGGTCATGTAAAAGTTAGTGAAAAAATTAGGGATAGTAATTTATAGATGTGAACAGATTAAACTATTCGCGAGAATTCATACATTGTCCTTTGAGTTCATACAAATAATGACGCAGACGTCTTATTGCTACGTTACAATGTTATGATACATTAGCAGATTAAATTTATTGTGGGTTCCAAACATTTCTAATTTTATAATTACAGTATTATGTTTGTGCATCGAATCTTATATTTATTATCGCATGAATTGATAAATATTTATTGTCGCAGCTGATATTTTTGATATGAATTTTTATGTTTTCCCCGTTTTTTTTTTTATTGTTGAGTTTGTGTTTAGGTTAGAATTGATAATGCAGGGCTTATATTTTAAATTGAGACAACTGCCAACTATGGATATAACGGACACCTTTACACCGGAATCACCAGTTTAACGGACCAAATTTGATGTACCAAATTTTCAATATCGATATATAATTTATAATAGTTATAACGGATTTAATAGTAAAAAAATCATTACGCATAACGGAACTCTTTTCCAGCCCATATACCGATTTTATTATAAAATTCTTATCTATGTAACGAATTCAATATAATGCGACAACTTGCAGCCAATAAGAATGCAAAAAAAATTTTTTGTTATTAATTTCGTTATATAGGTTATATAGGTATAACGAATATGCTATATAACAGAATTTTTTGGTCAGCCCAGATTTCCGTTATATCCATAGTTGACAGTAGAGATGCACCTTGCACGAAGTGATAAAACTATCGCACCCGCGATCTCGCGCGACTCTCGCAAGATAAACTATTCGATTAATTTTTAATGAAATTTTTAGCATATATTCTAAAATGAATTTTTATCACGAGACTCGCGAACTCGGCAGCATTGTCACACGTGCGCAAGGTACATCTCCAATCAAGACCTTAAATTTCAGCTTCAGCCGTTTTCAGCACATTTATTATCTCTCGATGCATTTGACGAGAATACTTGTTTTATCTAGCAAACACTTGTGATCGTATTTTATTTCTAGTTATTTTTGTGTAATGATTTTTTCACGTTTATATTTATGCGAAATGAGTGCTGCAGAGTGAAAACCTGTAACTGAATCTTTAAGTTTATCACTATAGTATATAATATGATAATCACTATAGTGATAAACTTAAAGATTCAGTTACTCTGCAACACTCAAATATGTGATGTAAATAATACAAAAATACACTCAGAAATGTATATAATTTTTTTGCCATAATGTTACCAATATGCTCAAATAAAATGCTACTACCTGTATTTGCTATAATACTGGTACCTTGTTTTGTTTTTGGGTTTTTTTAATGTACTTGAAAATTTGATTTATACTTGATATGTATTAGTTATTTGGTACCAATATAAAATGTTGAGCATTTTCCTAGTTATATATGTTAAGTTTGTCTAATGCCTAAATTGTACATATCAAAAATTATTGAAATGGCAGAAAAAGGCAACCTTACTTTATTTAAAATTATAAAAATATTGAAAATGATTTCGAAAATGATTCTGAAAATGATTTTGAAAATTCTGTTAGGTTAGATATTAATTTAGAAAATCTGCACTCTATTTCTATACAAAAGATGAATTTTACAAGACGTAAATCTTAGCAATGGAAAATAAAATAAAATATATAAAAAAAGTGGCAATTTTTTAAAGATTTACATTGGAAGATAAAGAGCAAAGTGGAAGTGTGATAATCTAGTGAAGTGGACAGGTTGTTAACTTTCAAGTAACAGGTCTAGAGTTCAAATCTTAGTGACAGCAAAAATTTGCAATTCTTTCTGTATTACAATTAACTGTCTTCTATGATTAGTTGAAATTAGATACCTGTAATCCATGTTATACCAGCATGACTAGAAGGTTTAAGCATTCATACAATGTTATATGAAGAAACACAAACTGGTATCAAGCAATATGAACCTATAATAAGTTCTTATATCATATAAATCACAGAAACCAGGTAGAAAGACAGAAGCTTATTTGGAAGACCTGAATAGATAGATAACCTGAACTTTTAATAGTACTACTATAAAGACTAGACTTATGAAATGGAGTCAAAATTTGTAAAGTTAAGCAAAGAGTCAGTTTTTGAAAAGAGATCAAATGGAACCAATCAGGTTATCAGAATTTCTAGATTTTGAAAAAAAAGATTATATGTCAGAGAATATGTAAACCAAAAGTATAATTATGATCTATTTTTTCAGATTATTTGGTTTGGAAGTTTAGTGAAACTTGGATTAAATATCAAAATAGTAGGGATATGTTATGAAATCAGTATCAGGATTGGGATAAACTTTACAAAAACATAATAGTTTAATAATATGTTCTGATTGTTAATATTAGTCTCAATCATAATGATATCAGATCATCTGTAAGAATGGAATATAGAAAATTCTGAAAAATTTAGTACAAGGTCAAAGGTTCTCTATATAAATAAACAACTTTAAAAACTTAGTGACTATAATATACTTTTACTAGCATTAGTCAAGGTTATTGGTAAACAGAGATAAATAGGTAGATACAGAAATTAAAGTGTTTAAATAGAGAACCTATAAGCAAGTTTCAGATATAGCAGCTAGCATAGAACCTTTAAACAGACTACTTAAATTAGACAATTACTAAAGTTGTATAAGCAATTAGTTGTATACTTTTTTTATAATTGTCTTCTGTAGTTTTAATATAACTATTAGCTAAATATACTATTAATAAAATTTTATGTTGCAAGTACTTATCTTAATATTTAAAAAAAAAAGATAAAAAGCAAAATTAAGTTATAAAATATATTTATTTAAATATAAACATTTTTGTTTCTAAAATTTATTATTGAAATAATTTAACTAATAATTTAGTATATACAGAATATATTTTAATAAAATGTTTGGCTAGTTAATATTTATATAATTTATATTATAAACTTATTATGAAAAAAAATTATTAATATTTAGTTGGTTCTTAAAAATAGATTATTTTGTTATATAATTATTTTTTTACTTTTGTTAAGATTGTTAATTACTAATAGTTACTGTCTTTATTGTATTTTAATTATAATTATATAACTTGTGCAAGGTGAGTATGCAACTAGCTACATATACAACTTTTAGTTATCTATTTAAGTAGTCTGTTTGCAGGTTCTATATTAGCTATCATACCTGTAATCTGCTAGAAAGTTATCTAATTAAACACTCTGATCCCTATATTATATCTGACAGATAGTGCACAAGTTCTTGTATATATAAATATTATCTAATCTAATCTTGGTCTTCTTTTCTATATATTTGTCAAGCTGTTATATATTTTAAAGTATATTATCTGATTATAAGGTCTAAAGACTTTACTGTTAACTAATCTACTCACTTTTTATAGAACATTAACAGAGATTACTTTTGTAAAGTTCATCTAGATTCTAGTATCAATTTCATAACATATCTTTAGTAGTTATAATATATGTTTGCTTTGTTATCAAACTCTTAATTCAGAAGATGTGATGACCTAGTGAAATGGATTGGTTGTCAACCTACAAGTGACAAGTCTAAAGTTTAAATTCTAGTAATGGTAAAATTTTGCAATTCTTTCTATATTATGGTTAACTGTCTTCTGTAATTAGTTAGGATTAGATACCTATAAACTGTGTTATACTAGTATAACTGAAAGGTCTAGGCACTTGTACAATGTTGTATGAAGGAACACAAACTAGTACTAGGCAGTATGAACCTAGAATAAGTTCTTAGGCCATGTTAATTACAAGAACCAGGTAGGAAGACAGAAGCCTACTTGGAAGACTCAAATAAAAAGATAACTCAAACTTTTAACAGTACTACTATAAAGACTAAACTTATGAAATAAAACTAGAACTTATAAAACTGAGCAAATGTGCCAGTCTTTGAGGAGAGACTGGATGAACCAACCAGGCCATTGGAATTTCTAGATTTCAGAGAAAAAGAGTACATGTCAGCAAACATGTAAACCAGAGATGTATGGTTATGATCTACCTTTCTAAACTATCTAAAATGGCAGCTTGGTGAAACTTGAATTGTATACTAAAGTAGTAATAATATGATGTAAAGTTAGTACTAGGGTTGGGATGAACTCTACAAGAGCATAGCAGTTTAATAATATGCTCTGATTGCTAATGTTGGTCTTAGCTATAGTGATACTAGGTTAGCTTTAAGAATAGAATATAGAAGATTCTAAAAGGTTTAGTACAAAATCAAAGGTTTCAAAAAACTACTTTAAAGACTTAGTAATCACAACATATTTTACCAACATTTCTAGGATTGTTAATAGGCAGAGGTAGGTAGGTAAATACAAAAACTAGAGTGATTAAATAGGAAACTTACAAGCAGGTTCCAGGTATGGCAGCTAGTATAGAACCTTTAGATGGACTACTTAAATTAGACAAT